AAGGCCATTTATTTCTCTCTAGAATGATGTAAAAACGAGCGTTCCGACAAGCATGCAAAACGGGACGGAAAACATAAAATTTTGCAATAATCTTGCGCCACCCATGCACAAAACATAGATAACAGAAGACTGTATTTTTTCTATTTAACCCCTCCCCCCTGACTTTAAAGCTGGATCCGCCCCTGAGCCTATTAGCCGGACAAATTTGCCCAATGGCCTCTTTGTTTCCGGCTTTTATATCTAAATTTTCAAATGTAGCAATCAGCACCTTCCATCCTAAATTTAAAAAGATCGCAAGTCCGGGCCATTTTAAACTCACTTTTCATCCTCATCGAGGCAACCTTTCATCCTTTCCGAACGCAAACAATTTAAAATGGCTCTAGACAGCCAGCTATCTTTTCCAGGATTTCACTGAAAATAACTGTTTTTAAATTTCCTCCGGTACTAGATGATGTCGTCTACAACCAATCATGTAACGCTGCTTCCACCATTGACAAAAGGCGCCCAGATCTTCGCGACGAACTTGGCTACATCGCACCACCTAATAGGAAATTGCCGCCAGTTCCAGGTTCCAACTATAACACGTGCGACCGAATCAAACGAGGTACCGCTTTAAGTAAGATCAATTCACCGCTTTTTGGCATGCAATTTTACTTTCTAGAATTGTCTATGTTCAAGCCAGTGGTTTCGTTTTCATTGCAAATATTCCATCTGTACTATTCGGGGTACCTGCAGATTTGGGGCCATTTTACGTTTGTCTTGTGCCACTAATTAAATTCGCCCAAAAAGTGGTTTCGCAATTTTACTACTGAAATTTTAATCATTTTGGCAAAATTCCTGCATGCTACAAACGTTGTACTTGTCTTACAATTCATTTGGGGCACCGAGGGCTTGATGTAGTTTGATTTGCTCGAAAAAAATGTCCGGTAATCCTCTAGGGGGCAAGTGGACGCATCTACAGTACCCTATTATTTTTTTATTATTTAAATTCGATAATTTAGGGGCACATTATCGCTCTCATTCCACATGGGACCCCCGCCAGCGCCATTTATACGAAGAGTTGAGGAGTAGGCGCGGATCAAATGAGACTGTTCATACTCATAGAGGTAATGACACGGTTTTTCTTTTTGTTTCTTTTTTTTTGGCTAACAAGATTTGTCACACTCATTTAAAGGCTTTAGTGATTTGAACAAGCATTGATTTTAGATTTTGTTGGAAACATACTAAAATATGGCCTGTTTTTGATTACTTTGTTTGAGTTTTGAGTACACTGATGAAAGACGTTTTTCTTGCACTAATGTAATACTTTGAAACCACTAAGGATTATTTACTTTTAATTTATTGCTTATTTACGAATAGTCAACTAACCGCACTAACTTGAAGTGTCTTCTCTAACAAAGTAAGTGTATAGCAACCTAATTTTCGAGCACTGCTTCTTAGCTGCGCTCGACATCAGCATGATACTGTGTGAAAGTCAATATTTCAACTAAGAACCTACTAATAAAACTCAAATTCTGTCCAGTAGTGAATTTATAGGTACCTGGAGCAAGGGCTGATCCAGGGGGGGAAAGGGTCATGGGGGTCAGACCCCTCCCCATTCAATTCTCTATCCAACGATGCCAAAACGAATTATGTGGCTCAAATGGTTCTTGAGAAACTTCGAAAAAAGCAGCGTCATGTTCAAGTGGATTT